AAAAAAACCGGTTCAAAAAAAAAAAAAAAAAAAAAAAAAAAAAAAAAAAAAAAGATTTGGGCAGGGAGGTGCATGCCTGTCATCCCAGAACTTGGGATGTGGAGTTGAGAAGAGCTGGAGTTCAAGCACACCATTAGCTTCTAAGTTCAAGGCCAACCTGGGCCACAAGGGGACACCCTGGACACTAGGTAACAATGCAATGCTGGTAACGCACCCGTCTGCCCATCCCAACTACTCTTCACTTTCTTTGTTATAGCTTTTTAAATTTTAACACACTTAGGGGATTGCACCACAATAAATAGAAGACCCAGAGACAGACACTGGGGTTCAAGCTTCAAACTGAAGATCAGAGAAGCAAAGCACCCATGCCAGGAGCTCTTTCCTCTACCTCAGACTGAAGTGGCTGATCCTGTCTGTCTCCATGAGCTCTCACTGAGTCTCAGAGGCAAAAAGGCAAAAGGCTCTCAGTTCCTGTCTCCTCCTCCTCTTATTCCTTTCTCCGCCCAGCCCCAGCCGTATCACTCCCATCTCCACCTCCCTAAAGCTAGGATTAAAGGCGTGTGATCCCAGGTGCTGACATCACCTTTTGTGTGAGCTTTTTTTTTTTTTAGGACTAGGTCAATTTTGAACTAACAAAAATCCATCTACCTCTTAATCCTGACTCCTGGGATTAAAGGTGTGTACCACCACCGCCTAGCTTCTAAAACTAACTAGCGTGGCTGCTTTGCTATTTTGATCTCTAGTGGCTTTAATAAATCATAAACAATATACCAACCACCACAGGGGATGGTATGATGCTCAGCAGTTAGACTCACACGCTGCTGCTCTTGCAGAGGACCTGAGTTCAGCTCCCAGCACCTATGTAGAGCAACTCACAACTGCCTTTAACACCAGATTCAGGGGGGACCTGAGGCTTCTCTCGGCAGGCACCCACACATACATGCATGTGCATGTACGCATGTGCACACACACACACACACACACACACACACACACACACACACACACACACACACACGTACTTTTCAAAATAGATTCTGCAAAGGTTTATTTACTTAATGTATGAGTGTTTTGCCTAGATGTGTGTCTATGTACCACAGGCATGTCTAACACCTGCAGAGGTCAGAAAGCATCAGATCCCCTGGAACTGGAGTTATGGACAGCTATGCGTCCCCATGTGAGTGTTGGGGACTGAAACCATCCTCTGCAAGAACTGCAAGTGAACCATCTCTCTGGCTCTCTTTTTTTTTAAATAATAAAAGTATTTTTAGCCGGGTGGTGGTGAATGCCTTTAATCCCAGCACTCGGGAGGCAGAAGCAGGCGGATCTCTGTGAGTTCGAGGCCAGCCTGGTCTACAAGAGCTAGTTCCAGGACAGCCTCCAAAGCTACACAGAGAAACCCTGTCTCGAAAAACAAAACAAAAAATATTTTTAAAACATGTTTTTAATGTAACACAGTTGGAGATGTGAAGCTATGACTACAAGATGAACCCCCCCTACCCCAGCCTTCCTGTCCTTTGTCGTTCTTCTTGAGGCACTTTATGGATATGCAAGTATACATTACTTCACGCCCCTCCTTTCCTGCAAAGGGTAACAACTCACACGTCTTACTATGCCTCAGTCTTTACATTTAACCACGGAGCATGCGCCCAGCTATCCTCAGAACGCTCTCTTTCACTGCACACTATTCCACCATGAAGATGTACCCCAATCCCCCAGGCACCCACTCTCACACTCTTGTGCTGTTACCAACAGTACCCAGTGAATAGCCCTGGGAGTACAACTGAGAAACAAATGTCTACAAGCAGAATTTCTCGGTTCATAAGGTCAGGTTGAAGGGATCAGCCCCCCATTTCGGCAGCCATAACAGCCGAACATGTGCATGTTTGACCTTGCCTTGGTCACTAAGAGGTCAGATGCCTACCTCGTGGCAAGGAACCAATTAGAAGTTAGCTGGTGGTGCTATGCTTTACGGCTCTGGGTGTGCTTTATGGACAAGTACACAGCAATGACGTGCAGACACCCTGGGAGGGCCTATGGGCCATAACAACCAGTTGACCAATCAACGCAGGGCAAACCCTCCAAGCCTGGAGGCACACCAATCCTGAGCCTGTGCGTATCCCTAGACACTCCCCTTATGCTGCCCTATAAGATCTCTATGCCGTGGCTTCTCGGCGTCTTTCCCAGCCATCGCCATGGTGGGTGGATGAAAGGCCTGAGCTAACATGGGGTTAGCTCGTTAAACAACTGCAATAAAGCCTCATGCAGTTTGTTCAAGTTTTCTCCTCTGCCTGGTGATTGGTGGTCCTGGGCCGAGATCCTGGGGGCCTGAGCCTCCGGGGGTTCTTTCAAGGTGAACTATTAACTATGACAGATATGTACCCTCTGTTGAGAATTCACAGTCGAGTGAGTTGTTTTCCCAAATCTTTCCTAATATGATAAGTTCCCACGATTTTCCAGGGGAATAAGACAGGTCTACAAAAGTGACTTGATTTAATCACATTTTTATTTGCATGTGAGCTCGAGCACCACACCAAGGCTTGTGTGCAGAGGTCAGAAGACAACTTATGAGAGTCGATTCTCCTTCCATCATGTGGCTCCCAGAGACTGAATTCATGTTACCAGGCTTGACAGTAAGCACCTTTACCTGCTGAGCCAGCTCTATTTAAGTGAGATTTAAGTTGTTGTTAGATTTTTTTTGTTGGGGGGGAGGGAGCAGTTTGAAAGCCAAGGTCCTTCGGTGTGCTTATGAACCACTCAATTTTTTTTTAAGATTTTATTTATTATGTATACAACATTCTGCTTCCATGTATATCTGCACACCAGAAGAGGGCACCAGATGGTTGTGAGCCACCATGTGGTTGCTGGGAATTGAACTCAGGACCTCTGGAAGAGCATCAGTGCTCTTAACCCCTGATCCATCTCTCCAGCCCCATCCACTAAATTTCTTTTGCATGTATTGTTTGTATCCTTTAACCATTGTTGTTTGGGGTATTTTTGAGACAGGTTGGGCTTGAACTCTTGATCCTCCTGCCTTAGCCCCTCCAGTGCAGAGTGCTTATTCTTTTCTTGGCTGATTTATAGGTTTTTTGTTTTGTTTTTGTTGGTTGGTTGGTTGGTTTTTGGCTGTTTGTTTTGTTTTGATTTTTAGGAAAACTGATACTTAACAACATGAATTACAAAGACATTTTTTCTGGTTTTTCAGGTGTAGTCAGCTCTGGGGGTTTGCTGCACTTTTTTTTATTTTAAGTAATGAGTTTTATTTATCATTCTGTTCCCAATGATGCCCACCATACACAGAAAGGCCATTTGTGTCCTAAATTTACAAGACTGGTTCCCTTTGAGTTTCCTAGAGAGAACCCAGACATGAATGATGACGCTCCCAGACATACTGTATGGAGAGGAATCACTACTGTTCATAGAGAATCTAGACAGTTATTCAAGCAGGCTGTGCAAGGCTTGTGTGTCCGTTGCAAAAGAGGTGTGGTGCACACAAAAGCCCCAAGTGCTAATTCTTCTCTCTTGGTTGTACATGACCTCTCTTACCAAACACACAGCACCCCCAAGGCACTAAACTACGAGGAGGGGCTGAAGGTAAGAAGCATCCAAGTCACAAACATACAATGCCCTACACGGCAACAGGCCCACCTGTGCACCTCAGGCCTCTCCGGTGTATCTAGGAGGGGAAAACTGTGAAAACCCCATTCCAGAGGATAGGTCTTACCTGTGTGAGCTCATCTCCCTTACCCAGTCACCACAACGGCTCCTTCCTTCCCACCCTTCAGGTAGGCCTCTCCACCTCCTTGGAGAGGCAATGCCCCATTTTTTTAAAAACCTTATCTTTATTGTGGTTGGTATTGTTTTAACCATTCACTTATTTCTGTGTTTATTATCCATCATCTGAAGGGACCAGCTCCCATTTCAGCAGCCATGATAGTCTAGCACGTGCTTGCCTGACCTTGTCTAAGTCACTAAGAGGTTAGATGCCTGCCTCGTGGCAAGGAACCAATCAGAAGCTAGCTGGTGGTGCTATGCTTTACAGCTATGGGTGTGCTTTAGGGACAAGGGCACAGCAATGATGTGCAGAGCATAGCAACCACCCTGGGAGGGCCTATGGGCCATAACAACCAGTTGACCAATCAACACAGGGCAAGCCCTCCAAGCCTGGAGGCACACCAATCCTGAGCCTGTGCGTACTCCCTAGACACTCCCCTTACGATGCCCTGTAAGATCTCTGTCCCGTGGTTTCTCAGGGTCT